TGCCAATGTATTAGTGCGTACATGAACAGTAGCCATTCGGACAGACGCATAGAAAACAACTCATTTTACCCAAAATTCGGTGTAAATTCTCCTAAAATAGTTGAAACCGCTATATTAACCTAACTCAAGTGTACACTTTACACTCAAATGTTTTGCTGTGTGTAGCTGAAATATGCCTTGAATATATCAAATATTCCAAATATGACGGAATATGACTGAAATATAGAAATATATGAAAATATGGCCGTATTTCAGGCGTCGCAAGCCCTTCGGTGTCAATCGAACAAAATCTCGAAAAAAAAAATTCCGAATTTCGACTTGAAAATTGTTTTGGGTAAGTTTCGAACAATTTCGAACAAAAATTTTTTTTTCGAACACGAACATTTGTTCAAACTTGTTCGTTCGAAGAAATGTTTTGTTTGAAATTGTTCGAAACGTACTCAAAACAATTTTCGGGTCGAAATTCGGAAAAAAAAAATTGTAATTTTGTTCGATTGACACCTCTAAATGTAACCAAAAATGTCGCAAATATTTTATGTGAATACATCAAAAGCACGTTAAAATGTAACATATGCATATATTTGTCGTTTGTCTTTTTCATTTGGAATTTTTTCTCTTCAAATTATTAGATCGTGAAATATAACTTAAGCATTGTTGAAGTAAAGTCGAAGATTGTTCCTCAGCTTTTGAGTTGTTCGGTTTCGATTTGCACATTTTTGCTTCCGGGTGCATCTTCAATATTCAAAACGTCAAAACGAGCCAGTTACCAATTCTAGTTGCTATCTGTGAATTTACATAATCATTCATTAGCACACAAAAAAACCTGAAGATCTTTTAACAGTTTTTGGCAATGGGTTGCGACACAACTCGAATACAATTTTATGGTCCAATACCATTTTTGACCTTGATCGTTTTTTTTCTTTTCAGATTATCACTTTCGTTGAAATTTCCTAATGAATTTTTCGATTATATTCAATTTGACGTAATCTTTTGTCAGAGACGCTTGGACAGAATCTTACAATACACCCCTTTTTACCTAATTTTCCATGTCTGTCTTCATAAACGGTTTGCATGAAATGTTGAACTGAATGAAAAATAAATAATTTTTTTTTGTTTTTCAATTCTTTATTCATGCCATTACTAAATCATTAGATTTTAAATTGAATTAAGCAACTGGGGCAACTGGCAAATGAGCGCCTTGTGGGTGGAAACCGTCGGCATCAGCGGTATATCTGACGTTGTATTGTTGGCCATCAGCACCGGTCCATGAGAATTC